TTACCATGAACCACGTAAAAAAAGAGCTCCCGGAAACTCCTTCTTTCTTGGCACTCTTGTTTCCACCATGTTTTGCTTCTCTCCCGGCTCCGGGGCCGGGACTGCCGCTTTTAGGGTTCCTGCGCGGAGCCATGTCGCCTCCTGTCAGGTAACAACGCTGCCTCGGAGCGCAGGAGCCAAGATTTGGGCAGGGCCGACACGAGGTGAGGATGACAATACTTTGGTGATTTTGTTGTGTGCCTGTCACCATTTTACATTTATAGTTTGTTTATTGTTATATATGTTTTTTTTCCCCTCCTTTTTTATTTATTGTTATCTTTATGCTGTATACCACCTATTGTTTGAGAGGAGCAATCTTATAAATCTTAACACTGTTTCTGGCTGAGTTTGTTTTTACAAAACTTGTTAAACTGTCCTATAAAATATTGTTAATTTGTTTAACAATCTTGCAGTGCTTGCAGCTCTCATTATGGAAGCCCTTAATAACTTTTCTTGATGTTTGAAAGAATTGGAGAACTTAATTCCTTTGCTTGTAGATTACTTTCAAGAGTCCCGAATTCTGGTAGCCTTGAGGGCTTTCATGCTCTATGTCTGTTTAATGAAAGATCAACCATGTTTTGCAACACATTCCCCCAAAAGCTGCCCTGGAGAGAAATGTCAGGTATCTGTCATACAGACTTTTGATCAATATGTAGCTTTGAAGCTATGCTTTGGATGGTTCCTTACATGTAGGGAAAAAGTATTCTTAAGCAGGCAAGAAGGAATTCAGAGAATTGTACAATGGAATAAGATAATGAAAAGTAGGATATTTGGCCAAGAGTTGCTCAGAACAAATTGCCTTATCATATATCATATATTGATTTGTCTTTGCTTTGCAGGCATTTGAGGAGCAACTCACAACTTGGTGCAAAGCTGCTGGAGAAGGTGTTACATATGAGTTCCAGCAGGTAACTGGGAAATGAGGGTTCATTCCAACTACTTTTCCTTTAGTTCTAGAAGCAAAGTTTAAGCTGCTTTTGGCTTGTAGCCTTCCAGAGTACTGCCACTGTCTTCTCTCCCTTCCCTCCTTGGGCCTTTATCTCAACAGGGCTGTCTTTCTATGGTGCCCTGTGCTCCACAGCCTCTTTTAGTGCTACTGCTGGTTCTGCCAGGCTTTTGCCAGACATTCCTGGATTTTGAGAATCTGTTGCCTCCTACGAGTTTCACCTTCTACCTTTTCCCTTGGGTTAGAAATACACGGATCAGACAGTTACCTCCACAGAGGAATCTGATCCCTGGTGGAAGGCATTCAGTGACACCTGCAAAGCCATGTGAGTATGTTGTTACATTTGCCTTTTCTCGTTTTTCTTCCTTTTTCCTTAGTCATTTTTGGGATGGGAGCAATTTCATCTGTTAGATAGGAGCAAACTATATTTATATTTGGGGAAGAAGTTGCTATTGACTGCATTCAGAAAAAGGTTGATATATATATATCAACCTTTTTCTGAATGCAGTCAATATATATATATATATACACACCAGGATATACCTTAATGCAGAACAGCTATACCCAGACTGCCAGCTGTCTATATTCAGAGATCACATGGGCTAAACCAACAGAGTGTTTGTAAGATGTCTGGATTGCTTCAAGTTGGGAAAAATATGGAAACTCCGTCTTCTCAACTACTCCAATTCCAGATCATCCCAGAAGCCTGCAGTTCCCTTTTTTTTCAGTTGATAAATTCTACTTTTGGAATAGCTTGAAACTTCTGAAGCTACAAAAATATCAAGTTAAATAACAACCATCACATGGGGAGCTTCTCTGCCATTGTGTCTCTGTCTCTTCAGGAATATGAAGCTGAAGTGTGAGATCTTCCCTGCTGCCACTGACAGCCGCTACATCAGAGCAGTGAGTATAGATGTCTTTCTTACAGGCACCTGACCAGTGGAAGTGCTTATCTTCTACTCACTTGCTCTAGCCTCGCTTTCTCACAGCTGCTTCTCCTTCCAATATATTCCAGGCAGGTCGCCCTGCAATTGGCTTTTCCCCCATGAACTACACGCCTGTGCTTCTGCATGACCACAACGAATTCCTGAATGAGCAGGTCTTCCTTCATGGGATTGAGATCTATGCTCACCTCATCCCGGCACTGGCCAGTGTCCCTCCTCTGCAAGCAGAAGCCTGAGATCCTAGCAAATGGCAGTGATTTGGGGTGTGTGGTGGTGATGGTGGTAGGGGGATTGGAGAGAAAAACCAAAGAAATTGAGAAAGGACACTATGATCTTGTGACCAAGGACTTATGGTGCCTGATCATCTGTGTTTCGCCAAGAGGAAGTGGAATTCCAGGATCCCTTGATGTCACACAAGGGACAAAGCAAACTGGCAGCATCAGTTAATGCAACCATATGTAAATGAGGGTCTTATTGATGTCAATGACTTTTTGTCTGCTGCATACTAATGAAGGTAGAGACTCTTCTTCTCACAAATCCAGATGGAAAATCACGTCTTTTTTTTTTCTACTAACAATTCTCCATTTGGAGATAAAAGGATAGTCTTTGTTGCTTCTAAATCAGAAAATCTTAAAAGACTAGTTTCTCACTACTAAAATGCAATTGAACAGGAAACTGTTACTGTCATATTAATTGTCTTCCTGTTACTACCGTGCCATTTTGCTGTGTGGTAAGAAAAACAACATCATTTACATTGATAAACCTAAGGAGAAAGCAAAATAGAGATGAAGACTCTGAAATCTTGAGAGGTTGGGGTCAAGTGAGAGAGCTATTTAGGCTGATGGGGTTGTTGTGGAGTTATTCTTCGTTCTTTTACTTTATGTGGCTAATACTACTATGGAAGACTATCTCAACACTTACGTAGAATTCTACCATGGAGAAAATTTTTCCAACTCTGCTATAATACTGAGCATTTTTCTTAGTTTTCCTATTTATAAAAGAGAATCAGCTATGACACTTATTCTTTGCCCCATGAGTTTTTTTAGAGGAAAAAATGTTTTGAAAATAAATGAAAGGGAATTTAGCATAGCAACAGCACTTAGACTTATACACTGATTCACAGTACTTTAAGCCTCCTCTAAGCAGTACAGAGTCAGCATATTTTTCCCAACAGCCTGGGCCTTCATATTATCCATCCTGGAAGGATGGAAGGCTGATTCAACCTTGAGCCAGTGAGAATTGAACTGCTGGCAGTCGGTGGAATTCACCTGCATTCTAATCACTGCTTTCTTACCACGGCTCTTTTTATTAAATAAAGTTTAATTACAGTGAGAGACTCAGATCTTGAAGGAGGAGTTAAGAATTAATACGACCTTCTTAGGAATTTTCCTCCCTATTCTACTACCTTATCCCACAGGAAAATGGGGATGTCTCTGAATTTTTACTCCTTGAGGATTCACTGGCAATACAGCTGACTGCCTTAATTATCTATTGAACCTGTATTTCAGCTAATTATAAATGAATGTCATTTGGATTCTTTGAATGCCAAACTTCTAAGGATGAAATGGAGAATATCCCACCAATAATATGGATGACTTTTCTCCTAAGAATTCCTTGTGGGGTGGCACCATATCAGAATGGTGCATCCTTTCCTTTGAGGCATTCTTTTCTAAATTGGAATTCTGCTTCAGTATTAAGGACAGTAAGTAAAGGTACTGTATGTGGCTTAAGATAAGGAGAAACTTTCAGTCACATTTCCTTGAATACGATACCATTCTCTTAAGAATTCGTTTACATGCACCTGCCTCTTGATTATTAGCTTTTTTCCCCCTCCACTCACAGCATTAGCAAAAGCCAAACCATCCCATGAAAGGGATATTTTTCCCAGTTTTATATAAGATAATTGATTCAGACTGGAAAGTGAGAGAAGTTCTCCAGATATCACATTGACATGTTTTATCTCAGGTTCTCTTCATCCAACTTGTCATTTGTAACAAAACCTGAATTTCTTCCAGAAGGCTTATTTTTCATACACGGTTGTAATGCAAGATCATCCCACTGTATATACACTGTCAGGTACACTTTCTATTTTAAATATTGGGTAACATCCGTTAGAAACTTCACTCATACTTTCTAATGTCATAGAGCAACACCTACTTAGGGGATATAGAAATTTCCCCCTTTAATAGTAGTCTATTAACTACAGGTGATTTTTAATATGAAAAGCACAGATAACAACACTGTGATTTGTCTTATTATGCATACAATAATAATCTGTGAAATTTACTGTGAAATTATAAATGCTTTGTAAAGTCTTGTGTCCCAAAATGTTCAGGTGTCAAAATAGGGCTAAGTCAGGATTCCTGGGGGGGAAAGGCTAACTCATGCATTTTTACAGTTCTGTAGAGTTTTGTACAATCTTACTTGATAGAAAGACCCATTGTGCTCTGTTGTGTTTTGGTAAACGTGCACTGAATTGTTGCATATGTGTAGATGTGGAGATGTTTTTAGATGAACATACCTCCTTTGGGAAAAGTACATTTCCACATAAGTCTATACTAGTATCAAAATTTTGTTTAGCGTTGCTTTTTTTTTGTTCTGTTTGCCATGTTCCATGATGAATTGCTTCTCTTAGTTAGGTTTGGCTGAAAAGAGAAATAACAGAACTATATATGGTTATTAGATTGTTAACTGTATATTAGGAACATGAACAGAAAGCTGCTTCTGGGCTTCCAAGAGGCTTTCAACGCTCTTTGATTCAATACAACCTATTGGCGGAGGTGGAGGGGGGCAGCATCTTGTCTCACATAAATTTAAGTTGCCTGTTCCAGAGGTGGTATTCATCAAGTTCTGACCAATTCTGGAGAACTAGTAGCAGAAATTTTGAGTAGTTTGGAGAACCGGTAAATACCACCTCTGACTGGCCCCGCCCCCATTTATTATCTGCCTCCCAAGTCCCAGCTGATTTGGAGGAAATGGGGATTTTACATTGTCCTTTCCCTGGAGTTGGGTGGGAATGTAGATTTTACAGTATCCTTACCCTGCCACGTCCACCAAGCCACACCACGCCAGGCTACACCCACCACATCACGTCCACAGAACTGGTAGTAAAAAGTTTTGGATTTTACCACTGGTCTGTGCCCACATGAACAAAACCATGGAACAAAACCAGTTCATACCATGGATTCTAGCAACGCTTTTCAAAGTTGGCAACTTTAAGATGTGTGGACTTCAACTCCCAGAATTCCCCATGTTAAAATTTTCTTGGCAAGATTTCAAAAATGGGTTTCCATTGTCTGCTTTCAAGGGCTGAAACAGAATGATCTGTCCAAAGACATCCAACTGGCTTTGTGCCTAAGGCATAACTAGAACTTCCTGTCTCCTGGTCCTAGTCTGGTGCCTTAACCACTATAACAAACTAGCTATCGCATGTCTCCTCAACAGCATAGAAAGACTGTTTTTCCACAGACAGAAAACTACAACATGCCATATGTTTTAGCACACGATATAACTATTTTTAATTTCTATAAATGTTGACAAAACCAGCTATATAAAACTTGTATGCCAGATATATGGAGCAGCTAGCATTATCATTTCACTCTGTCTTTTTCCTCAGCAGACTGTGAACGGCCATATATAAGAGTTTAAAAGGAACTCCTGGTTCCTTTTTGCCATCCTTCCTATCTAAACATAGATACAAATTTATTCAATCTTAGAAATATTCGTTTTTTCAGTTTATATAAGAAAAAAATCTATATAAATATATAATGGCTCTGTGTGTGTGTGTGTGTGTGTGTGTGTGTGTGTGTGCGTGCACGCGCGTGCACTTGCACGCGTGCCAACATAACTCTGGAATGCCTCCAGCAATTTCAACCAAACCTGGTACTTACTCTCTGGAAAAAAATATTATGGGGGTAAGACCCCTCCTAAAAAAAAACCAGGGTGTGTGTTAAGATACAGCCTGTTGTGCCTTAAAATGGCTTCTACTGTACTGTAAAGTGTCTTCTACTGTACAGCGCAGTGGAGTTGCCATGATAGCAGCTTCACAGTACTCCACAAGGGGACTCCCTCTGGTAAGGAGGAAAATCCAACATTAGAAATTATGTTTGATCCAGACATTTTCCCCCTATAAATAAATACCCAGGCATCACTGGGTTATCAGCTACAACATAATAAATCAAACCTTATTCAAATTTTAAAGTTAGATTTGTGTGCTAACTTGGGAGATACAAAATCGGGTGGTAACACTTGAGCGACCTTAGTGGAATTCTGAAGGCAAGCAGGAATGGGACCTGAGTGGCATTTTGATAGGAGGAGACTAATAAGGAATTCTAGGGCTGGGAACTCAAACACATCAACACCCAAAAAGGTAGTGGCAAACTATTTAAAAAACTAATGTGCCTACAGTTGGTCCTCAACTTATGACCATAAGGGACTAGAACATCTGTTGCTAAGCAATGCACCCTTTAAGTGATTTGAACCCAATTTTATGACTTTTTTACTGAGATCAAGTGAATTGCGTGATTGTTAAGTGAACCTGGCTCCCTCACTGACGTTTCCCCCTGGGGAGGTCACAAAGGGCAGTCATGTAACCCTGGAGTGCTGCAATGGTTGTAAGTGTGAGGACTGATTGAAGACACTTTTTCAGCACCTTTTTCATTTTCAAATGGGTGTTAAACAAATGGTCATAAGCTGAAGTGTCCTTGTATACCAGTAATCCAGCTTGCCTCAAATTTTCCATTTTTATTCCAACAGTAATTGCTTGGAACTATTTTCCACTAGATGGCGAACTGCACCTAAAAATCCTCCAACATGGAATAATTCAACCTAAGGAACAACTATTAAATATTGGTAATACTGTTGATATTGCTCGTATTTGTTGGGAATGGGATGGAACAGTGTGTGTGTGTGTGCGCGTGTGTATGTGTGTGTATATATGCAAATACAAATACAAATATATACAAATAAAAAAACACCATATATATATATGTGTGTGTGTGTGTGTGTGTGTGTTTTATTTGTGCTGATAAATAAATAAAGGGAGACTAGTATAGATCTATTTCAAGCTATTTAGCTCTCATAGCTTGAAATAGATCTATACTAGTCTCCTTTTATTTATTTATCAGCAGAAATATAACACAAATGTAACAAAGATAACAGTAATAATATTGGGTTTCTGTCGTGATGGTCTCTTGTGATGAGCCGATTGACAGATAATGGAAGCAGTTAGCTTCCTCCCATAATTGGGGCATACCAGGGGTTGTGACACTATATATATATATATACATACATACACACACATACATACATACATACATACATACATACATACATGATAAATGATAGATAGATAGATAGATAGATAGATAGATAGATAGATAGATAGATAGATAGATAGATAGATAGATAGGACAGGGAAATAATTAAAAATTATTGCTTGATAAAAGGAGAAGATGCACAAATTTTTTAAAAAATATTTGCAGCAACAGAATAGCATGATAAATAATAGTCTAAAAGTTGAACTATGTACATGTACTTTGAAGCAAAATTACGGTACTTCCATTCTCCGTTCATAGGCTGACTTTATCAGAGGGCATAGAGAGGTGATCATTTCAAACATAGTAGCCCAGTGTATGAACTTTGTTAGCTGAGGGTCAGTGAGTATGGACAAGTGG